TTTAATTTCAAATAGAGGTAAGCAGCTTCGGCGTAAATGTTGAAAGCGTTTATTTAACTATATGTACAATCATGGGCGTAGCCAGGTAGGGGGAGGGGTCAGTGAATTTTACTTTCAAAAGTCATCAATATATGTAAATCAGTCACCGACTTTTATTTATTAAATCATTTGTACAAAAGTCATGTATCATTTTTCGCTGTTATTAAGATGTTGGGAAAAAAGTTTACTTCGATTTATAAAGTGTCTTTTATAAGTATGATTTAAAAAATAAAGAACAGTGACTGATTTATATTTATGAGTTTATATATAAAAATCTTCGGTAACTGTTATCTAAGACATATAATTTCAAAATCAAAAATATTTGATATTTTCAGATTATTTAGATACAAATCAAAAATAATTGTTATTTGGGTTTATAAAATAAAAGTCAGAAATAACGGTTATTTAAGGAGTAATTAAATAAAAGTCAAAAAAGTAATTGTTAAAGAGCGATTTTTTTAATAAAAGTTGTAACTATTCTTTTGGTATACCAACTGTATGAACTGATCAAACTTTGATTACGTTTTCCCACAGAATTAAAATTTTGAAATCATTCTGTATATTATTAAATTTGCGATATATCTATGAGATTTTCTTTCAAATCGATAAGATATATATACAAATTAAAGTTTGTGTAAAAGTTTTAATGAAGAAACCGAAGAGTTCTCAACATTGCAGATGCGAACTAAGGAAAACTGAATTATTACGAAATATAAATAAAGTGGCAGCACCACTGCATTTTCTCGCTTCAGTCCGGGAATATTTTTTACTTGTTTTTTAATAACAAAATAAACAATCTTCTGTTGTAAAATGTATGTGCATTCTGAGAAAGTTTTTTAATAATATATGTTACTAGTGTTTCAAAAGAGAATATTGGTAATTTAGTGCATTTTGAGCGTGGAAGAGCTTATAAAAAAGAGCATTATTAGAAAAGTGTTTTCTTAATAAATTTTACACGGCAAACAATATTAACCCTCCACCTCCGCATTGTTAAATGAGGGATAAAAACGCGCCGATTTGGTACCCGTGCTGGGCTTTTGGACGTTTTTTGCAAGTTGTACCTTAAACATGCACACCAGCTGTAAACTAGGTACATATTACAAAAAAATTAACAAAGGTGCAATAACGCCTTAATGGCTTTATTTAACTTTCACAGTGAGAAATAAGACCCTTATGCAAAAATATGGCCATATTTCTCAATGTGAAGTGAAGTAAAGCCACATGGCGTTATTTCCTATTGCTTTATGCACGGCGCCAACAAACACAATGACATGGGTAGTCTTTAATGCTCAACATAGTCATACAATTTTTTTCATTTAATGTCTAGAGAAAGCTCAACGTTGGCCCTATTTAATGTTTTACTTCAAAATTAACCACTATTCTCAGAAGTGTATTATAAATGGAGCTTACGAACATACATATGTTTTGTTGCAATGCGGGCTTTTTTTATACCCGCGCGCACTTGTGCACAAGGGTTTATTATCTTGGTTCACATATCGGTTGTTCGTAACAGTCAAAACGAATCGAGATAGATATGGACAAATGTATATAAGGAATAATTAAGGTAATATTAAAAAACCGTTAAGTGCAAAATTTTATTAAAATAACTTCAAAACTGAGGGAGTTATTAGTAAAATAGTTAAAGTTTAATAAAATTTTCAAATACCATTATCTCGAAAACCGGAGGCAATCTGGTAAAACGGGGGATGTCATTAAATTTAGAACGTCTCAATTAAGTGAGCTCAGCTTTCAATGTACACATAAATGATCAGAATGAAAAGAGAAGTCGATTAAGCCATATCTGATTTTCCGTCCGTCCGTCCGTCCGTCCTTCCGTGTACTGGAGGTAATTAACTTAAAATCGATTATTGCAATAACCACTTAGCATAAAATTAGAATGTTATAAATTTTTGGATAATAGGCGTGGCGCCGCCCACTTATGACCACAAATGTGTATCTCGGTAACCGATTTATCAATTTCCATCAAACTCGGTGCACCTAATAACCTTGGTACGGAAAAGCAATTTGTTGAAAATTAATCCAATCGGACTAAAATTACACCCGCTTACCGTATAACGCTAAGTTTCAGACAAACGAAAACGCCGATAATTTAATCCTGCGCCGGTTATTTAAAGTTTAGTTTCTCCCGAACTTATAGAACTTTACTTGTTTATATTTTTTTTGTTTTCGCTGACTATATATACCTTCTTCATTACTCTTTTTAGAAAAAATTTACTTACTAAACTGCATACATGCAAAAGAGTAATTAAGCATTGAACATGTTTTATGATAATTTACATAAAGTTTGGAACTCCACTGTTTTGCTTTTTTGTTGTAGTGATATATACAGTTATTTTCAAGAGGCTTAGCTTGGGGGCCCTGTAGTTGGAGGAGAAGGATAGGCAGGTCATTTAAATCTTTGGTCTTTTCTCTCTTAAGTTATTTTTTTTTTTGTACTGACCTCAAATCAAAATTTCTTTAACATTTTATAGATTTTCCTGGGCAAACCGTAGTTCAATATGCATCAATTGAGGAAAAATCGAATGTCGATTCTCAAATTTTTCGAATTGGAAGGGTTCGATTAATCAATATTCGATTGAATTATTTATTAATTTATTATATTTGTTTCTAGGCATTGCAAATCGGAAATCTATACATATAACAAAATTGCAGGGTTCGTATTTGCACACACATGCGCAGCACATCCTAATATTTTACGCTCACACACGTGTGCTGTGCATATAAAAAATTAAAAGCTTGCTCACATCACATGTGTGTGCCGTTTGGTAAAAAACACGTGCACATGTGTGCTTTGCGTAAAGAAACGTATACACTTCGAATTCTAAAGGCGGATTCACCGTTCGTGTCCGGACACTTTTTGATGTGTATACATCTTTGGTTTCGGTAGGGGTAAAATTTGCGAAGCTGTAACGCATATCCCAGCACAAAATTTCGAAGGGCTTAGCATGTGTATTTCAGCATAAAATTTTTATTTTCATTAGAAGCACCCTGTGTTCGCTTGCCAAATGGTTGCATACATTTAGGCATATGCATAGTAAGAGGAAATGCGCTACAATTGATTATTAGCCGTCATCGATTCGCCATCAGTTAGCAAGTGGCGAAACGAACGAACTCAATGAGGTACAACCAAACTTGCTATCGTCTATCCGTGCTAGCTAACTTTGTTGTTGCTTTCACATGCAAAATTTTTCGTTAAGCGACCGGAACTCAAACATAGCGAGCGAGAAGTGGCGAATCGACGACGGCATGGCATCCTATGACACCCACAATGCACAAGATACTAATTCCTTATTAACAATAGGACAATTATCGGGGAGGCTCAAGAGGCCCACAACAAACACTACCGAGAAAATTATTCCCGGAAGTTTTCTCGTGAAGTATGTAACCGTGACATATATAACCGGCTGTTGGTGAGCTCGGACTCGTTTTTAAGCAGTATTTCGGTTCATGACCAAAAAAAGAAAAAATATCAAATCGTTTTCCCCAGACACAATAAAGCTGCTGTTACCCTCTAAATCCGTTGTCAAAGATGTGACAAAGGAATAGTTTGAGGCCAGCGAAGATTCTGAAAGCGAAAACTAATTAACCAATGATAGTGTACACACATTTTATAAATAAAGGTAGTCAATATATTTAAATAGTAAATTATTGGCTAATATATATATTTTATTAATATAACCTATCTGTAATACAAATTATTTCAATTTTACATTTGATAAACAATTTTGAGTAGATAGAGGCAATAAAATATTTTTTGCCGCATAAAACTTGAAAATCTACCTATATGCGGTGTTTCCAAGATAATTTAACGCCCTGGAGTCACAAGTATATACAAGTATATTTTATCAATCATACCGATAATGTCATGTATTAAAAGAATTAAAAATGAAAATGAATAAAAAAATTAAATCAGCAAAATGAATAAAATTAAGTGAAATTAATGTTTAATTTCTAACCTAACGCCTTTATATATAAAAATATTATCCTAATTTTCGAGCTTGACTCCCTAATCTGTTATTAGAAAAAGAGATTAGCCATGCAAAATTATAATTAAAAATATCTCAGATTAAACCGATAACTTTTTGGTGTCCAACCCAGTTTTATCGATTATACTTGCGAAGAAGAGGAGGAATGTCAAATGTTAAAGTAAACAAAAATTGACGCTAGTAAGGAAAATAGGTTTGTAAAGGTATTTTTAATAAAATATTCAGTTAAAATATATTTAAATGGCTTAATATGTGTTGCAAAAAAAGTGATCACGGTGGCACAGAGAAGAAGTTTAACTTTTCCTCGAGTTGTGTGAATAACAAGCACAACCAATTTGACAGCTAACGAGCTTTGATTGAGATTATATTTTTATGTAAACGTACTTTTATGCTTTGCCGTTCGCATATGTATACACATCAAATTTCATGAGTACCTAGTACTCACGCCTTTTTTGTTAGTAATTTTACGCGTTCTTTTGCCACCTTGTCTGACTGAGAGCGCGACAAAAATGTGCTGAACACTCTTTGTTCGAATCAAATCGATTTTGATTTTCTGTTCGAACGACTTGATGATTCGGGTTGCCGCGTTCTCATTTATATGCGTTTGCAGCGAATTGCATGTGTTATTTGCCCTCAAAATCGTATGTAGGCAAACAATATCATCAACTGTTTGCTACAGCCGTACTTCAGCACCCTCCCCGCAAAAATGTTTTGAGAGCAAATAAAAAGTTGTCTGGACACGAACGGTGAACGCGCCTTAACTCAAATCTTAAATTAATTGTTTAAAACATACAGTGCCGAACAGAAATATTGGCACAGTGAACTTTTCGCAATATATGCAGTTTTTTATTCTAATTTATTTTCGATAATTTTTTATAAAAATATTGTTCATTCTACACCAGAAAACATAATAATAAAATCTCTAAACTTTGTGCAAAACTCAGGAAAATTCACTAAATTTGCAACTTTTTATTCAGATTAAAAAAAAATTCTAAGTATGCAGTTTTATAGCCCATACAAATAATATAACAAAGTGCAAGTTTGAAGGTCGCTAGAAAATCGCATTGATTTTTGGTAATTTTTTTCACGCAAGTTCTTCCATACAAAGTAATTCGACAATTATTTTTTGTATTTTGAATTTTCCTGAGTTTTACACAAAGTTTATTGTATTGTATTTCAAAAAATGACGTTTTATAAAAAATTCTTTTAAAAATATATTATGTGCATGTGCATGGGCAGAAATTTGTACAAAAATCGGCACACACACATGTGCATGCGCTTAATAACAAACAGCACACACTTTTCTGTGAGCAGAGTTTGTTTTCCACTTATGCACACACATGTGTATGAGCAGTGAGTGCAAGTTGAATGTGTTTCTGGTGTGTGTGTGAGAAGAGCATGTGTGTGCAAAATTGTAACAGGTCGATGTCAGTACATTATAGATATTAAAGAAATATTATTGGGGAGGGTCTTTATTAGAGCACCAGAAGCCAAATCTACCATTTTTAGAATTTTTGTCTGTGTGTCGGTATGTTTGCACGGATTTTGAATGCAGTTTTCACCGATGTATTGCTAGAGGTCTAGCTTAAAATATAGAACCCACCTGTTTGAAAATTACAGTTTAAGTAAGTCCTTAAATTTCGAAATATTGCAGTTTCAAGCATTTCTGAAATATACCGTTATATGAAAAGCGGTCGTGATTTTAGTCCGATTTTAATAATTTTCAACGCTTTGCTTTTATGTGGCAATCACAATAACCATACCGAGTTTGGTTCAAATTGCTAGAACGGTTAGCGAATACATATATGTGATCATAAGTGGGCGGTGCCACGCCCATTTTCTAAAATTGTATCATAAGCGTATTTCTTGGTAAAAAATTGTTGCAACCATCCATTTTGAATAAATTAGCTTTAATATTTACTGATTTATCGAGGATTTCGTATTTCTCGAAATTACCGTTATATGGGATGTGGGCGTGNATTTGTCTATATCTATCTCGATTCGTTTTGCCTGTTACAAACAACCGTTATGTGAACAAAGTTATAATACCCTTGTGCACAAGTGCGCTCGGGTATAAAAATTAATATTGTAATATGGGCGTCAAAAGAAAGAGGCTTAAGAAGGCTCACAGCCAAAAATATTTTGTAGAGTTGCCACCTGTTTGAAAATTTGAATTTAATTTAATTTATAAGATAAATTGAATATTGCAATATGGGTATCACACTGAAGAGGTTAAGGAAATTTTACTGCCGAAAATATTTTTAGGGAGGGTTGCCACGTGTTTGAAAAATTTTATTGTATTAAATTGATAAAATAAGTGAAATCTGTATCTATACGTATAATAAAATTGTAACAGGCCGATGTCTTCACCTTATAGATATTAAAAAAATATTAATATGGTCGGTTTTTATTAGAACTACAGAAGCCAAACAAAACGCAAAAACTTTGAAAGACTAAGAATTCGCTAAAAAATATAGCTAACTCTATGTCTCGCATGCACAACTCTTTAACAATGTCAGTAAATTGTGAAACAATAATTGTAAGTTATAGGCAAATTTGTTGTTATTAAACTGAAAGTTATTTTCGAGATAACTAACAACGCACGACAAAAAATCGTCAGCCTTCATTTTGAATAATTTAAGCTCCATCATGATATTATTATCGCAACTTGTATGTAACGACCCGGCGATATGCCGTAAAGCGATTGATCTTTTTGTTGTATTAATTTCTTGGGCATATGAAACATTATCTGAAACATATCAACTATAACAAGTAAGAAAGTCTAAGTTCGGGCGGAGCCGAACATTAAATACCCGGCGCAAGTATTAAATATATGTTTTTTCACCCTTCCGAAACCTTCCGCTAGATGGTAAGCCGAGGTGTATCAATTTTGAGTAAATTAGCGTCCTTCAATTTCGAAATATTGAAGTTTCAAG